AAAAATTAAAGGGGCCAAACCCTCTAAATCTCTCTTCCGACGAGGAGGCTTGGAAAAGTCCACAGAAACCCGAATGAGTTCTTCTGCCCACGGAGGCACCGGTGAGATGATCGGGCCAGGGGTGAGTACAGGGACGGGAAGGGAAAACTGTGAATATGCATCAAAGGCCCGGACGACGAAAGGCAACTGACGGCGTCTGGAGTGTCCAGCCGGCACATTCCACCAGTTAGCCTCGAGCTGGAGGCGAGTAAGTGGATGGGTAGCAGGGAGACGCACTATCCGTTGAAGTTGGCGGCAGTGGGCGAGAAGACGTTGAAAGCTCAGGGGCCATAGCCCCGACTCGGCATGGAGAGAAAGAACTGGCGAGGAGGGCATAGCTCCTAACGCTGAGCGAAGGGCACCATTTTGAATGGGATCCAGCCTTGCCAAGACAGATGCTGCTGCTGAGCCATAGACTTCACTCGCATACATGATCTTGCTACGAATGAAGGCCTTATATAGAGCTAGGAGCGACTCCCGTGAAGCCCCCATGCCGCCCCAGAGACCTGTTTCATGATGTTCACGCAACGAAGGCATGAGGCCCGAAGGTAATCGACATGATGCCTCCACGTCAGCCGAAGGCTATCTAGAATGACCCCCAGCCACCTGTGTTCGGTAGCAATCGGGAGACGACAGCCCCCGAGGGTTACCACTGGCTGGTCTGGTAAGAGGGTCCAGGTGAAGCTCATGACTCAACTTTTCACAGGGTTAATGGAGAGCCCCTTCCCCAGCACAATTGCTAAGAACACAGTCACGGCATTTTGCAGGGAGCCTTGTGCCTCTAGGAGAGTGTCACCATCCGCCACGAGGGTTACATCATCGGCATAGGCTAAAACCTGGACCCCCCGGAATACAGGGAGATCAGACAGAAGAATAGATAATAGTAGTGGGCTCAGAATCGCTCCCTGAGGGACACCACGCGAGACAGGGCGAGACGTAGAGACGACTCCACCAACCGCCACTTTGAATGAGCGGCCCTGTAGATAGTTTTGGAACCACCTTAACGCCGGACCCGAGAGACCTAGTCGAGCCAGACTCTGAAGGACAGCAGAATGAGAAGCAGAGTCAAATGCACTCTTGATGTCAAAGAATGCTGTAAGGAGCACTCTTCTCCGGCGATAAGTGTCCATTATTCGATGTTCCAAGGAGAGGAGGCAGTCCATCGTGCTTCTTCCCGGCCGAAATCCACTGATACCCTCAGGTAGGAGACCTGAGGTTTCCACCACCCATTGTAGCCGGGTGCGAACAAGACGTTCCATCAGTTTCCCGAGACATGGAAGCAAACTTATGGGCCGATATGAACTCGGGACAGACGGATCCTTCCCTGACTTGGCCAATGGTAGAAGAATGGCATGTTTCCACGGGGCAGGGAAGACACCAGAGGACCAGCAGGTGTTGTAGAAGTAAAGGAGGTGGGACTGAAGGATCTTGGGTGCCCTCCGAACAAATTCATATGGGACGTTGTCTATCCCTGGCATAGTGCCCAACGTAGAGAGTGACAGAGCGTCCTTCAGCTCAACAGATGTAAATGGGCGATCCAGAGCCTGAGCTAGTCCTATACCCTGTCGGGAGCCCCAACCTATGGAACTCAGAGAGGAGCGGAGAACGGTAAACATCTTCAAAGTGGTCAGCCAAGAGTTTGGCTATTTGTACTTTCCCCAGGCCCCCATTACCACTGGGGTCTCTGAGTGGGATGGTAGGCCGGGAGTACCTACCTGTCATCTTACGAACAAAGGCCCAGGCTCCCGCAGAGGAGGAGTCGAATCAGAGAGAGGCACAGTAATCAGCCCAGGCCTTGCGTTTGGCAAGGAGGACGCCAGGTGTAGACTGTTCGTCTACACCTGGCGTCCGCCCTGCGGAAGGTCCGCCACTGCAGTGGAGTAGGGTGGCACCGCCACGAATTCTACGGACGTCGCCGGTCCAGTACTGCCTGCCGACATTCAGGAGTCCACCACGGTGCCCCACGGCGGGAAGGATTGGTTGTCTGGCCACTAGTCCTCCTGAAATACCGAGAGCCTACACTGAAGAGGGACTCGGAGAGAGCATATGCTGACCCATGGAGATCTGCAGTAACTGGGGGAAGGGTCAACCAGTCATCCGCCTCATAGCCATGCCACTCCTCTTCCGAGAAGATCCATTTGGATCTTCGGGAGGTCAGAGCTGGACGAACAGTGCCCCCGAAGGAGATGACGATGGGCAGGTGACCACTACCCAGGTACGGCCCGGTTCATATCTGCGCCATCGTGAAGGGGCCTCTTCCAATGCAAAGATCGAGCGTTGAAGTATGGCCATTTAGCGGGTCTATCCGAGTTCCCAAACCTGGCGGCGTCAGTAAGGAGAGGTCTGGGGAGTCAAGGAGAAACTGAAATAGGGCTTGGCCAGCCATGTTGTGGTGGCGACCAAATAGCATGGGTTGCCATGATGAGTGCCGAGCGTTAAAGTCACCCATGACGAGGCAGGTGTCTGTGATCTGACCAAAATAGTGTTCTAGTTCCTTCTTCGTTACCGGTAGACAGGGGTTATACAGAACTCCAAAGGTGCCCCACCCATGGGAGAGGGCGACCTTCACTGCCATGAATTCTAAATGTCCACCCGGGAAGGAGTGAATCCGGAGCAGGGAGCTGGGAACTGAGTTCCTGACCAAGAGGGCAAGTCCCCCTCCACCCCGTACTGGCCGATCTTGTCTATAGACCGAATACCCCGGCACCGTGAAGGAAAGATCATCTGTAAGCCAAGTCTCACAGAGTCCCACGATCAACGGTGGTGCGCTAGCAATAAAATTGCGTAGAAATTGCGTCTTCTTAAAAAGGGAGCCGGCATTCCAAAACACCACAGTATTCTCAGGATGGGGCGCCATTATCCTTGAAATACAACAGCTAACTTTTTGACCACCAGTGCACAGACGTCTCCAAAGGGAGAACCACTAGAAAAAGCCATAAAACCCTCATACAAAGTAAGTAAAATGTGTGGTATCAATGACTGCCAGTCCAGAGGATGTTGATCTATGCTTCTCTCTGCCTGACGGAAGCGGTGATCGGCTCGCGAACTCTCTTGACGGCGTCTGCGACTGGTGGGAGCCTCACTCTGGGCCTCATGTTCCCCCGGTGTCACAATCCCTTGGGAAAGTGCCTGGGGGACCAGAGGATCATCAGGACTGTCTGTCGGAGCAGTACCTCCTGATCGATGGGTGTGTCGACGACGCCGGTGTTGGCTTCTTAGGGGAAAGGCAGGAGGGTGACGAGTGCCAGGCTCCGGCCGAGACTGAGCGTCCATGTCTGTATCCGTGGATGAGTTTCCGTCAATGTCAAGGCTACCCAGGAGGGAAAATCGATTAGCAACCTGGGCATATGGGGCATGTGACTGGGACAGGCAAGAGCGTCTGCTAGTTACTACTTGTGAAGAGGCCCGACCAGGGGGAACCTGGAGGCGAGAAGAAGCGATAGGCTGATTGAGGGCGCGCAACTTCTGGAACAGCTCATGTCGAGGTGTCCCCGCTGTTTTATAATCGATGTCCAACTGGAGGGCCTGAAGATATACAGGGCAACTCTTGGACGTAACCTTATGATGGCCATGGCATAAAACGCAGCGAGGTGCAGCAGAGCACCCACTGTTATCTCTGTCTGTATGGCCTGTTTTGCCGCAGTTTGCACAACGTGCTGCATTACGGCGGGTCAGGCGACTGTGGCCCAATAGATGACAAGCGTAACATCGTAACACAGGGAAATTGTAGTGCTGAACCTGATACGAGGTCCTGTGTAGTGCCACTCGGTCAGGGAGGTGCCCATCGAATTTTACACGGACCATGGATGTCGACCCTGCTGCTCCGCGAATCATGGTAACTTCCAATAATCTCGCTGATGCACCCCCTAATACCTGCAGAGCGGCCTGGATGTCATCCACATCTATACTCTGGCCAATTGGGCCAATCTTCCCATACCGGGCCGAGACTCCTCCTCCTGCGACAATACCTGTCGGCACCTGACAGGCCAGTCCCCCAACTTAATAATGTCGGATACACAGATGTGTGATAGAGCCTCTTTTCTGATATGTAGCTTCAGTGCTGCACCCCTACCCAGGGTACGTATGGTATCAGGCAGGTAATGTGGCCACAATACGGAAGCCTCAATTGCTGCACCTAAGGTACGAGGATTTGCAAACACACACTGACCTGATTCTGACTGGATTAGGACCACCACAAACGAGGAACGGGGTACCACAAGACTAAGGTCTTCTGAAGGGGAAGACATCCTCTTAGCATCTCGCTCTGGGGCAGCATCAGCCGACTCATTTTCCAGCAGACGTTTTCCTCTCTGGGACTTGCTGTCAACATCCATGGCGCCCCCGCTCGGGGAGGCGTCCATTAGGGAGGCTCCGGCCTCCCCCGGTCCTGTGAGCCCCTGGGTAGCTACAGTGAGCACACACTGGCCCAAAGAAGCCAGCTGAATTCAAAGATGAGTTCCAGGTAAGGTGTGGAAAGAAAGTCCAGCCAGGAGCGTTCAATCCCCGCGCCAAGATGGCCGACCTTCGGGCGGCTTTCCCCCACCGCAAGATAACGTAAGCTTTTAAGGGTTGCCAGATGTTAACCTTCTTGTTTGAGGAGCTGTTCACTTAAGCCAGTTAACAAGTCCCAGCTGTGTCTGAGTACAAGTGACAGGATGAACAACCCAACGGGGTTTCTTCCTTTTGGGGAGTGTTGTACATGCTGCTATTGCAGACTAATTTGCATTATGTCCACTCACAAGATGAGTGGCGCTGCCCAATAAACTCGCCCTCGGGGCAAAACTTAAAAAAAAAAAAAAACATAAGTGAACTAAACTAAACTAAACCGGGCTAAACACCTTACAGGAAAAGAGTTCTGTGATCTCTGTTATTGCCGTTTATCAAAAATTAACTTTACCCAGACATGCATTATTTTAGTTAGTTTATCTGCATGTTTTTTAATTGAAGCCAGCCTGTGTTGCCAAGACGTGCGCTGGGGAGTCGACGCTCGCTAGGCAGCGTTTGCTCTGTTATTGTTTACCTGAGTTAGTCAGACGCTGGCTGCCACGAGGCGATGTTGTCGTCTTCACAGAGTCAAGAAAAACTTCATAAGAGAAATCATTATAGAGGGAAATAGATTTGACAAGTAATACTTAAATCATAAAGAAAAAAGCGTAAGGAGGTGAAACCTTCCAACACTGCATGTAAGTCTTATCGTGTAGTGGCCCCGTTAGAGGAGTGGTATGCATAATAGGTATATAAAAATTAATTCGTTATGTTGGGGGATAGGCAGCCGTTGTATATAAATCATTACAATACTAATATGCAATAAGTTTTGGCATTTATGACTAATGTGGGTAGGTGGTTCTATGGGTTTGTAACCCTCTGGGTGAAAAAGCATCTCATGTTTTTTTGTCCTTCATGGTGGCTTGCTGAAGTTGAAACCATTGTTACTTGTTTGTGTTACATCTTACCTTATGTAAGGGAGTCGGTCGGCCGAGCGGACAGAACGCTGGACTTGTGATCCTGTGGTCCTGGGTTCGATCCCAAGTGCCGGCGAGAAACATTGGGCAGAGCTTCTTTCACCCTATGCCCCTATTACCTAGCAGTAAAATAGGTACCTGGGTGTTAGTCAGCTGTCACGGGCTGCTTCCTGGGGGTGGAGGCCTAGTCGAGGACCGGGCCGCGGGGACACTAAAAAAAGCCCCGAAATCATCTCAAGATAGACTCAAGATGTAGAAGTCTGGATCAACATCCTCCAAATTGTTCAGTACTTTAAAAGCTTTGATGATATCAGCTCTGTCATGTCTGGTTTGCAATGTTGTTAGCCTTGAGGCCATCAACCTGTCCTGGTATGAGAGTTGACAGTTCTGGAATGATTTTTATTGCCCAGTGCTGACCTTTCTCCAGTGCAGCAATGTCTTTGTTGATGAGGTCTCCATGATTGGATGCAATAATTCAGGTGGGGGGCACACCAGAGTTGAATAACTACCATTTTGTCCTTATAGTCAAAGGTACGTTGACTATTCCTAGAATTTGATAGCTTCGTTTTACTGCCGCTTCCACTAATTTTGCAACTCCGTCAGTCAGTCTCCGTCAACTCCGTTGCAGTCTCCGTGGTGTAGTGGTAAGACACTCGCCTGGCGTTCCGCGAGCGCTATGTCATGGGTTCGTATCCTGGCCGGGGAGGATTTACTGGGCACAATTCCTTAACTGTAGCCTCTGTTTAACGCAACAGTAAAATGTGTACTTGGATGAAAAAACGATTCTTCGCGGCAGGGGATCGTATTCCGGGGACCATAGGATTAAGGACTTGCCCGAAACGCTACGCGTACTAGTGGCTGTACAAGAATGTAACAACTCTTGTATATATCTCAAAAAAAAAAAAAAAAAACTTTCCGTGAATAATAGATTCTGACTCTATGGTCCTATTCTTCATCAATGTGCTGTTAATTTGGTAGTTGTGGCATTGGGTGTTATGCCCTACATGCAAGATTTTGTATTTTACAGTATTAACACTTTCTGCTGATGAGGACTCCGCCCGGAGTCCTGTTTCGCCTCACCGCTTCCGCATGGTGGACATAAATTTATGTCCTCTTTTAAAATATTTGTATAAAATTCAATTTTAATCCGATTTACTTTGGGTTTGTTTCAAACTGCGCGCCATGAGGCTCTCTTTGTCACCACTAGGCTGCATGGTACAATAAGTTCATGAAAGGTGTGGACCACTTCGATCAAATGGTATTACCATTTTACCCGGAAAACTCACAAGTGGACCTAAAAGATAACGTTTTATTTCCTGCAAATGGCTTTGCATAATGCCTTTGTTTTGTACAAATAAAACACAACTGATCAAAAAAAGCTAACATTGCTACAGTTCCACGAGGTGGCAAATTGGGCCCTATTGTGCTGGGACCCGGAAGATTTGCCTCAAACAGCAACAGTATCTCAACACTTGCGGCACGCTCCAGACATAAATGATGACACAGGTCCTGCCTATGCTGACGCCATGCAAACTCCTGGACCATCTGGTGTGAGGCGGCCCTTGTTCACTTCAACACCTCAAGCTGAAGCAGCAACCGAATCAGAACCCGAGATGTCTGGCACACTGCCATTTGACGAGAAGGTTTTGTCAGATGACTTTGACTCAAATGTTGAACCTCCAGCGATTCAGTTGATTCTGAAAATCGCATGAACTACAAACTGAAACGAGTATTTTGATACCAGAATGAACACTGTATCACATAAACTGCCATAAGTAGACTCGAACCTTCATAGATTTTTTTTTGGGTGTAGCGTGTGTCTGCATGAGTGTCCCAAACGGGTTGCAGGTGGGTGACTTTAGCCGTTTATACTGGTAATGCTTCCCCCATATCGTGTATTATATGCATATGTCTGTTTAGGGAATTTTATTCCGATCAATGTACAACCAAAAATATCTGTGTGCAACAAGTATAAACTTGACAAACATAACAAAAGTAAAAACATTTCGTGTGTGTTTGACGCTCACTGATATGTTCCAGCGTTGTTTTATATTTGGCGCTATTCTATCTTACGCTTTGTTGATCTTTTTTACCTACGGGCTCATAGAACATTCTATTGCGAACACATTGACACAAAAATGAATGACGTACATAGAAAAATAATGTCAGGAGAGTGAAATAAGTATAAACTTTCAAAGCGCCGTATCGCACATGTGTCGTCCCGTCACCGGGTAACAATTTCACCACTTCCCACACTCTTGTGGGTGGGCCGCAATCATTATTCTACGTTTATATTCATATCACCGTGTTGGGAATTTCATTGCGAGTCTATTGATATCAAAATTAACGCTGTAGGACAAGTGTGGAGGTGATAACAATCCCAAGAGTAAAAACATTTTGTTGCTGTTGGGCGCTCACGGCGAGTCATCTTCGTAGTTATTTATTTGGTGCTGGTATCCCTATATGTTTCGTGACTTTTTTTACTGATGTTCTTCTAGAGAATTTTATTGCGAACACGTTGGTACCAAAATGAAATACGTAGCTCGAGAACTAAGGTCAGGAGAGTAAAAAGAGTATACACATTGTTGTTTTTACCCTTACGCGGCAAAAACGCCGCGCGCACATACCGCTTTTTTTTTTTACCATCCCAGGGGGCGCGAAAGTGTTAAAAAACATTTGAGTCTTCTGACTATTGGTAGAGTTCATGTAGATCTCTTTGTAAGACCTCAATTTCATTTTCACTTCCAACTTTACCACAAATCTTAGTATCCTCTGCAAATTTGATGATGTGGTTTGTAAATTTTCATCTGTCATTGATGTACTGTATATGAAAACAAATTTTGGCCCCAAAATGGACCCTTGTGGTACCCCCCGCTCACCACAATTCTCCAGTCAGATTAATTTCCGTTTAGTGTGACCCTTTGTTTTATTCATTCTAGTAGTCTACCATTTATTCCATGTGACTGCAATTTCCTTCCTAGTCTTCCATGTGGTACCTTGTTAAAAGCTTTATCAAAGTGTGTGTATACTACATCTACTGGAAGTCTGTTGTCTGAGTAGCTGGTTACCATTTTAAAATATGTGAGTAGGTTTGTAATGCAGGATCTATTTTTAAAACCCATGTTGCAATGGTTTTACAAGATTGTTCACTTTGAGATGGTGAATGATTTTCTTGAAGGATTCTCTCCATGAGCTTGCAGATCTGTGATATCAAGCTGATTGAATGGTAGTTTTCTGCCGAACTCTTTCTGTATTTTTTTTTTTTTTTAAATAGGGGTGACATTTGCATATATTCAATCTAGGGGCACTATCCCTTAGTCCAGAGATTATCTGAAAAGGAATTTCAGTGATAGGCATAGTTCATCTGTCAATTCCTTTATGACTTTGTGTAATTACCTAAGTGTAGTTACAGGATGAGAGCTACGCTTGTGGTGTCCTGTTTTCCCAGCACTTTTTGTCATATAACGCTTTGAAGCTACTGACAGTTTTGGCCTCCACCACCTTCTCACTTAACTTGTTCCAACTGTTTACCACTCTGTTTGCGAAAGTGAATTTTCTTGTATTTCCTTGGCATCTTTGTTTAGTTAATTTAAATCTATGACTTCTTGTTCTTGAAGTTCCTGTATGTGCCTGCAGATTCAAGCTATTAGCTCTTGGATCCCACCTTTCTAACCAATCTATTTTTCCTCTTATGTCTACTATAGTGGTGCCTCGACTTACAATTTTAATCCCAGAGATGGGTCCAAGTCAAAACATCGTAAGTCGAAACAAATTTTCCCACAAGAAATAATGGGAATTGAATTAATCCATTCCACACCCCAAAAATATTAACTTTAAAATACATTTTATACTGAATACTGTACAATTTTTTTCTCTATCTGAAGGTCATCTTGAGATGATCTCGGGGCTTGACGTCCCAGTGGCCCGGTCCTCGACCAAGGCCTCCTTTTTGTTACACACCCCCCGGGAAGCAGCCCGTAGCAGCTGTCTAACTCCCAGGTACCTATTTACTGCTAGGTAACAGGGGCATCGGGGAGAAAGAAACATTTTACCCATTTGTCTCTGCCTCCACCGGGGATCGAACCCAGAACCTCAGGACTACGAATCCGAAGCGCTGTCCACCCAGCTGTCAGAACTCTTGTTGGCGTATGGAAGATGATGAGGACGGGGGAGGAGGAGTGATGTTACTGTTTGGAAGGGGAGTCCCCTTACATTATAACATCAGGCAGTGATGACTTCTCTGGGGGTACACTCTCGCCTATGTTTTGGTTGCATACCACTAGGGCCTGTTTGTAGTTCACTGTTTGTTTGTCTCATTAAAAATTTGTCCATGGAGATTTGTTTTTCCCTTCATTTTAACATTTGTCTGCAGTGATGCATCACAGTGTCAATGAAAAGGTTAAGGCAACGGCCCACTGCAGCTTGATTTGAGCGAGTCGTTTCAGCAAAAGTTTGCAGTTCTTCCCACGCTGCACACATTTTCTTAATTTTTGAGGAAGGGACATTATGTACTGCCTCTATGGACATGTGTTTTCATATGTTGAACCTTACCACTGACTTTCTTGGGACTCATGATGTGATATATAATAAATACCTTTATGTTCAAAAAACAAAAAATCACCAAAATAATGAAATTTCTTACAAGCGTGATTGTCACTAAGCGAGCGGCTCTGGTATACTGAGGCAGGTCGGCCCGTACCACCAGGAAACATGCACTTGGTCGACTCGAACATGTATCACTGAAGATCATAAGTCGACGACACGATCGTAAGTTGAGTCGCATTTTCCTACCAAATTTACATCTTGACTCAAAAAAATCATAAGTCAAGGTGTAACTATACATACACAGTACTGGTATTTCTCTAATACAGTGTGCGTGCACACACCCCCAGGAAGCAGCCCGTAGCAGCTTCTAACTCCCAGGTACTTACTGCTGGGCAAACAGGTGCATCAGGGAGAAAGAAACTGCCCATTTTGCTTGAATCTGTGTCCTCTTGTTCGTGAAGTTGCTGGTTTCAGGAATTCGTCTTTGTAAATTTGGTCGATTCATGTTAATACTGTATTTTGTAGGTGGTGATCATATCACCTCTTTTTCTTCTATCTTTTAGTTTTGGCATGTTTAATGCCTCTAGTCTCTCTTTGTAACTATTGTTTTTCAGTTTCGGAAGCCATTTTGTAGCATGCTGCTGCACCTGTTCCAGTTTCCTTGTGTGCTTCTTGAGATTTGGGCACCATACATCTGCTGCGTATTCCAGTTTTGGTCTCACAAAAGTCATTAACACTTTATTTAATATTTCACCATCAGTATAATTAAAAGCAAGTTTGAAGTTGAAAAGCGACGCATATGCTCCTCTCAGTGTTCTTTGTGTTCCTCTTTTTTTTTTTTTTTTCAGGGATATTCCTGCATGGCCTTAAGCCTCTGGCTGGCCCACTAAGTGTTGCTTGTTTCTGTTTTACTTGGGCGGAGTATGAGTATTTATTACTCGTATGGTCGCTTCAGTAAAATTTTGCCACATGTGTTTAACACCTTCTTCTGCTCTGTTGAATCTAAGTTGAAATCTTAATGGGTTTGTAACTGTGCACTGTGTTAGATAATGTTCCAGTGGTCTGTCGGGCATTTCTCCACAGTGCTGACATTTCCTCTCATCTTCCGGAACCTGTAAGCCTAGTTCCTCTGGTGACAGCTTACCATCCAAACCACTCCCTAGTCTCATTCTTTATTAGAGGTCTGTAATTCCTTTCCACATAATTTGTAAATAGTGTGTGGTTTATTTTATCCGATTCCACATGACATAACATGGCATTTATTCACATTAAATTCCATTTGCCACTTGATGCTCCAAGCACTTATTTTATCTAGATCAATTTGAAGGGCATTACAATAGTCTGCCTCTCCTATCTTCCCCAGTATCTTAGCATCATCTGCAAATATGTTCATATAATTCTGTATTCCTGGTAGATGGTGTATGTAGACGATGAACTTTACTGGTGCAAGACCTGGACCCTGTGGTACTCTGCTAGTAATGTTCCTCCAGTCAGATACATTGTCTCTGATTACTGCCCTCATCTGTCTGGCAGTTAAAAAAATTTAATCCATGTCGGAAGTCTCCCAGTCACCTGTCTAGCATGTTTCAGTTTCCAGAACAGCCTCTTGTGTGGGACTCTGTCAAAAGCCTTTTTTAGGTCCAGATAGATACAGTCAACCCAACCACCTCTTTCCTGTAGTATCACTGTGGCTCTATCATAAAAACGAAGTAGATTTGTTACACAGGATCTTCCTGTTCGAAAAACATTGTTTGTTCGTTACTATGTCATTACTCTCTAGGTGTTCAATGCATTTGATTTTTAACTATTGTTTCTAGTGTTTTGACTACCACACTTGTTAGTGATAGGTGGTCTATAATGTGGAGGTTCCTCTCGACTACAATTTTTATAGATTGATACTATATTTGCCTTTTTCCATTTATCTGCTAAGATTCCTGTGCAAAAGGATGTCTGGAATATTAGTTGGAGTGGAATGCTCAGCTCGGTTGCACATTCTCGCAGCACCCAAGGTGAAACTCTATCAGGTCCGACTGCTTTATTTCTTCCTAGTCCCTTGAATAATATTTCCGCTTCGTCTTTAGATATCTCTCTGTATTCTATGGCATGCTCCGGAAGTGGTATTGGGTCTGGCTTTCTGAGATCCTCATTTTGTACAAACACACTTTGGAACTGTTCATTTAGCATTTCACACACATCTCTTTAATTCTCAGTAGTCCTGTTCCCTGTTCCCAATCTCTGGATTTTATCCCTCGCATGTAGCTTGCTTTTAATGAAGTTATAGAAAGGCCTGGATCTGTTTTACATTTCTCTGCCATACCTTTCTCTAAGTTCTTTTCTGCCTCTCTCCTCACTGCTGTGTAATTGTTTCTTGCTTGCATGTAGTGCTGGTATGTTTGCAGGTTAGGCCTCCCCCTATATTGACCCTATTTTCTTGCCTTTTCCTCTCTAGCCCTCTTACAATTTCTTTTGAACCAATCCTGTTTTCTGGTCCTGCATCTCCGTTTTGGTATGAATGTTTGTGTGCCTTCATCATATATTTCACAAAATTTGGCATACATCTCATTTACTTCCTTGCATAGCAACAAGTCTGTCCAATTTAACTCATTAAAGATTTTCTAAGTTCCCCATAGTGTCCTTTCTTGAAATCGAGTTTATCAGCTGTTTCGATGTACCCGTTCTTTTCCAGATTATATTGCAAAGCATATTTAATTTTGATTTATTTAAGAAATTCCCAGGTGAGGTATTTGGATAGAGCATTTTGTGTCAGAGATAGGAGGAAACAGATTAAGGCCTTTGCTATCCGGGAGCAGAAATTGGTGATATAGTAAATAACATGAATGATATGGCTAGAAATGGCAACAAACCTATTATTTGTATCAGTGTCGGTGGAAATGATGTAGGACGAGTTAGGAGTGAGGCACTGATACAGAGGTTTTAAGACAGCCATAGAATTAGTTAGGAGCAAGGGAGGAATCCCACTCATATTTTTTTTTTTTTTTTTTTTTTTTTTTTTTTTTTTTGAGATATATAAAAGAGTTGTTACATTCTTGTACAGCCACTAGTACGCGTAGCGTTTCGGGCAAGTCCATAATCCTACGGTCCCTGGAATACGATCCCCTGCCGCGAAGAATCATTTTTTCATCCAAGTACACATTTTACTGTTGCGTTAAACAGAGGCTACAGTTAAGGAATTGCGCCCAGTAAATCCTCCCCGGCCAGGATACGAACCCATGACATAGCGCTCGCGGAACGCCAGGCGAGTGTCTTACCACTACACCACGGAGACTGCAAATATGTGGCATTCTTCCAAAAAAGGGAGTTGGAAATAAATGGTTGTGGAGGGCACTTGGTGTCAATTGCCAACTGGACAAATATTGTAAACCAAATGCAATATCATTCATTGGTAACTGAGAACACTTCTATGGAAGGAATACCATGTATGCTCGGGATGGGGTGTATTTATCTAGGGCTGGGGTGGTTGTTGTTGTGAACTCGTTGGAACCTGTGGTGGTTCTCTCATAAGAAACTCATACAAAAGATTACATGGATGGTGAAATCTGGATTCCAAATTATAATTTATATAGATGTGATAGAAAAACTAGGTCAAATGGAGGAGTAAGTCTGTATATTAAAGAGGACCTGGTATGCACAGAACTACTAAACTCAACTAATGAGGTGGTAGAGGTACTTGGAATTAAGGTAGAGAAACTAAACCTAATTATTATTCTAATATATAAACTGCCAGATACAACGGTTGAGGAATTCACAGAGCAGATGCACAAAATAGAGAACATACTTGATAACCTAGCAAACCCAGCTCCAGATATTATCTTCCTTGGAGATATCAATTTACCGAGTCTAAGATAGAGAATGGCAAACACAAATATCATAGCAGGGAATGACCCGGGAAATAACCAACCACAGGTCAGAGAACTTTTGAGATTCTGTGACAAATTCTCGCTCAATCAACAGATTACAGAACCAACTAGGAACGAAAACACACTAGACTTGTTATTCACAAACAATGATGAACTAATCAGAGACATAACAATCTCAGATACTGTACTTCATACTCAGACCATAAGCTCATTGAAGTGCGAACTAGCATAAATAACGGTAGTAGGTCTAAGAGACCCAACAAGCGAGAAGGAATATTCAATCGATTCAATTTCAACAATAAGAGGATTGACTGGGAAAGAATAAATGTAGACCTTGCAACCATTCAATGGGAGACGGTCTTAAGCAACTAGGAACGAAAACACACTAGACTTGTTATTCACAAACAATGATGAACTAATCAGAGACATAACAATCTCAGATACTTCATACTCAGACCATAAGCTCATTGAAGTGCGAACTAGCATAAATAACGGTAGTAGGTCTAAGAGACCCAACAAGCGAGAAGGAATATTCAATCGATTCAATTTCAACAATAAGAGGATTGACTGGGAAAGAATAAATGTAGACCTTGCAACCATTCAATGGGAGACGGTCTTAAGCGACAAAACTCCCACACAGGGAAGAGCTCAACTGACAGCTGAAGCTTACAAGGTCTGCTTGAAGCACGTGCCTGTGAGGAGGGGCAGAAAGAGGACCACTCTAAAAAGAGAATGCAGACGACTATACAGGAGAAGGAGAAAAATAACGGAAATGTTTCGGCAGACATAACTATCACAAGCAAGGAAAATAAACCTAAGCAGGGAGATCGAAGAAATAGAACAAACGTTGAAGCGATCATATGAGTCTGAGAAAATGGAACTGGAACAGAGAGCTATACAAGAGATAAGGAAAAATACAAAATATTTTTTCACATATGCAAAATCAAAATCCAAAACCTCGACCAGTATTGGACCGTTAATTACAAATGAAGGTACGTACACAGAGGACAACAAAGAGATTAGTGAAATTCTAAGAAGCCAGTATGAGGCTATGTTTAGCACACCAATAAACAACATGAAAGTTGATGACCCAGACAGCTTCTTTATGAATGACACATTCAAGCTGCAGATAATATAATGGATATTACCACAAACTCGGAAGACTTTGAAAGAGAAATTGACAATATGCCTATGCACTCAGCTCCTGGGCCCGACTCATGGAATTCAATATTCATAAAGAAATGTAAAGTACCAGTAGCAAGAGCACTCAGCGTAATATGGAGAAAGAGCCTGGATACAGGGGAGATACCAGCAACACTTAAATCTGAAGATATAGCTCCATTG